AATGAGATCTATTTGGTCTCATTTTTCAAAAATTAAAACATACTGCTTTCAAAACCCAAACTATATATCTTTTATATTTAAATTAAATCTCAAAAATTATTTTCATATATCATATTTTTCAAATAAATCTAAATCAATCTAATCGAAAAGAAAAATAAGTTGACCGACATATATCTTGTAAATCCGAGATTTGAGGTGAAAGGAAGATAAAATCTGATTTATGGGGAGTTGGATTTATGTGCATGCATTTTGTCTTTTGGCTGAATTTACCGTGAATCCTGCATAAATCTTACTTAAAAAGGTACCAAATAGCTACTAAGTTTCAATTTTGATAGTATCAACAATTTTATAAATTTCAAATTTTTAAGATCTAGTTTTGGTTTTGGCTAAACTATTATCAATGAATATTTCAAAAAAGAGTATTTCTTAGACAAAAAAGAATCTAATTTGAACTCACGTTATAACACGCATAAAATTTGATAGGGCCTCAATCATAGAATTGTAGCAAAAACTTCAATAATTGCTCGAGAATTTGAGCTAAATATCAGCCAAAAACTATGAGAAAATGATACTTGGTTTCGGATTGGAAAACCTCGAAGCATAACTAAAACCACTAAAATTGAGAACCATAATTTAAAAGACAACCTTAATACCCACCAAACAATCATCCCCTTCATTTGGCATCAAAGCGCAGTTAATTACAAAAGAGCACAACAAATGATGGAATATGACAGCATAAAAAAAAAAAAAAGTTAAAATTATGAGCAAAGGCAGCCTATGATCAATTCCACAAAAAGTTCCTTGCAAATAATAATCGAGTCCAATAACATTAATACCTTTTTGGCTCAGCAATCATGATTTCAATTTCCGCAAGAAGTAGGTCATCTTGGTCATTCATGTATATATTGACATCACCAACCATAGCTGGCACCATTTTGTCCAAAGTTAGTTTATAATACTCAGTATAACAAACATATTTCACCAACAATGCAATGAAAATTCTATACTAAAATCCATTCAATGTGAATCCAAAAAGATAAATCAAGTCATATCACATTAATTCTGTTATGGATGTTTAACGTGCTTTTCATGAATTCTTTAAAGATCATAAATTATATGAACAAAAGAAGAATGTCTAATTTCATATGCCCTAGAATATGGAGCTTAATACGCACATACTTCAGAGCACTGTGAAGTCAGCTCTGCAATCCTCTCTTATAGATAGTTTCATCCAAAAAAGAAATGCATAAAGATAGTTCCAGCGCCAAAATAAAGTTCAAAACAGTTTTAAGTTTGCCTCGAAAGAAGCTACTTGACTACACAAAATAATTACTGAATTCATTCATATGCTTGATACGCATATCAGGCACTCAAAGACGGTTAAAGCCGTTCTGAGCACATGTACTAAATTCTAAAAATATGTTAGGGAAAGCTCATTCAACTAATACGATAATAAAAAAAGCAGCACAAAAAGAATGTATAAAATTATAAAAACAAAAATTAAAAAGGGAAAAAAAAAGTACCAGTCCAGTCGTTCTAGGAAAAAGGCTCCCGTATTGTTTGTGGGCTCATACAACTCGGAAGAAACATGCGTAAGGAAAGTACAAAAAAAGAGAGTGGATTTGTTCTCCAGACATAAATTCTCCAACTTTTCAATGATCACCCACCGGAAGAACGGATGAGACGATCTAGTGAATAACCCTCAGAGAGAGAGAGAGAGGGAGAGAGAATTTGCCTCATCATTCCTCGGATTTGCCCCGACGGTCTCATCCAGAGAAGAAAAAGCAGGGACAAAACGCGGGAAAAGCCAATTTTATTTTTTATATAATAAGTTTGCCCCCTCTAAAAAAAGAGGTCGGTTCCACCACAACCCAGAAGTATAGAAAGAGAAAAGAACATTAAATTATGAATCTAAAGGCACAAAGTCTGTCAACAATGTCTTAACGAAAAGATCACGACGTAGGTGTCAAGCGTCACATAATTGATGATGAGACATATCTCAACCCTTCAATGTTGATCGTTACTTCGGCTATTTGTTTCTCGAGCACCACTGACTGGGCGAACTTAACGGATAATCTAAAAACCATATTGACTAGTAAAAATGCAACAGTTGGCACTTAGACAATTGGTGGAGAGGCCGAAAAAGTAAACTAATCAGTCAGCTTAACCCGAAAGCTAGGTCTAGTGGATCAGTTTAGCGGGTAGTTCAACAAGTAGTTCAACAAATAGTCCTAATGAATCTACTAGATAAAAAAAGTGGATTGTGCATGGTGATGGGCTCTTAATCATGTGATACATTAGAGATCCATCAGTCGTAGGAATCTAATCAATTTACAACTTCATTGGGATTTTTTGATTTCCTGCTTAGTCTTAGTAGTTGGTCATTTGTGAAGCGAACCAACATCCTAAGAAATCTCAGTAGTTGGATATATCAACCAAATCCCTTAGACTCTTTTGGTTGCAGCGGATTCTTGTTTCGAGCCTTCATTCTCCTAGGATCACGCCATCTAGGTGGACCTAGACGGCGATATAGATAGGGATGTTAATAGTAGAATTCAAGTTGGTTGGTTGAAGTGGAGGAATGCTTCGGGCCTTTTGTGTGATAGAAAAGTACTACTTAGACTGAAAGAAAAAATTTATAAGATGGTGGTGAGACCTGCAATGCTCTATGGCACTGAATGTTAGCCTTTAAAAGAGAAGCATAATACTAAGTCAAGTGTTGTCGAGATGAGAATGATTAGGTGGATGAGTGGCTTTACACTTAGAGACAAATTGCAAAATGAATATCTCTATCATAGGGTTGGTGTAGCTCCAGTGACGGACAAAATTAGAGAGAGTCGTCTTAGATGGTTTGATTGCATTAAATGTTGGCCGTCTGTTGCAATTATAGTTTTGTGTGATGTTTGTGATTAAATTTCGAGTTGTTTGTTTTAGATTCAACTTATGTTAAGAAATACAGAGGTAGAACTAGGAAGATTTGGGCTTATTGTAAAAATTATCTTAATTTTTTTTTAGAACTAAATGAAAATGTGACACTAAATAGGACACAATGGAGAAAAAGGATTCATGTAGCCGACCCCACGTAGTGGGAATAAGGCTTTATTGTTGTTGTCAAAACTCATCATGCACCCTACATAGCATTCCACCTAAGTGAAGGGAAGAGTTTATGAAGTTTTGTAGGATGGTTGACCAAAGTCAACTGTGGTCAAACTAAGGTTAAAGAAGAATCAAACCGAGGCTAAGCCTTAATCAAACCAATCGAATTTAGAATTCTTGCTTTTCTGCGTAATTGTTCTTACTTTTGGGTGAAGGGTGCATAATTGGTTATATCTATAAAAGTTGAAGTTAATTAACATCTAGGATATTCATCAAACTTCTACAGGAAATGGTCGAAGGGCAGAGAAATATCATGCAAAGGGATCTAACCAAAAGACGCAAACAAGAGAGAAAAGACAAGATCAATAGTAGGGAATTGGGATTGAGAACTATGAACGATAGAAGAAGAATATATGAAGGTATGTTCTTTAGTGCTCCATCTTCAATCAATCAAGATTTATGAGGTGGACTAGTGGTAGAACCCGAGACGATCTCGTGCTTGGGTTGGATTCATTAGGAAGGCTGCAGGATCTAAACCAAGAGGGCTTCTCCTAGTGGAATGACGAGTATCTTTGAGGGAGGATGGAAAGAGTACATGTTAAGGTTGGATCTTGCAAGGAATAAGAAATATTTTAGGTCATTCATTAGCTGCTACATTTTTCATATCCTGACAAAAATCAGAAGGAAATTAGAGGTGGTTGCAATGGGTTATGTGAAATATTTTAACTACTTATTCATACAAGTTTGGACTGTATCAATGAAATATGGTTTAAAAGATTTATAGAAAAAACAAAGCACATATCATTGATCAAGGTCTGAGTGAGGCTTGAAAACCTGTAACCAAGCTTGCTCTGGAATCAACAAAAGCTAAGTTTTGATTTCTTCACATGGATGTAAGTACCCCCTGCCGAACCACATAATCTTTGTCGTCTTTGGTCAAATACCTCATTTTATTTCTCATTTGTAGATTAAGTTTACATTCAGTCCTGTGAATATTCTTGCTTGTAAGATATCTTGTTTCAAACAGAAGAAAGAGATTAATTCATATTTATTTGTTTTTAGAGGCTAGATAATTTGATCGTGTTGTAAATCAGTTGTTGAACTAATTTTGCAGTATCGTGTTACTTATTCAACAAACTACGCAAAATGAAATATCGGATACAGAAATAAGCGAGTTCGAGCATTTCATCAAGCATACTGATAGCCTGGACCCCTACTAAAGAGAGAGATTCAAGATTTCATGAGGAATATTCCAGACCTCCCTCTCTTCCTCCGGAAAATAACAAGGGACCTGAAACATTCCAGTTCATTATTTACCAGAAAATGAGTAAAGAGTTCAACGGGAAATCTCCACAGTTAGCGTTCCAACAATGACAAATTCAAAGATCAAACTGGTTAACTTCTTTATCATCGCCTGAAGGCCTCACCCAAATATTCAATCAATGGGTCAACAACATTTACCTAAACCCTAGAAATGAAACAGAATAACAGAGAAAATAGAAACAGCCGGGTGAAGCACACGCAAAGTAGAAAACAAAAAACCTTCAATATGGGGCTCTCCATGAGAAAATTCTCCTTTAATCAACTCCCTATCCAACACAATAAACGTATGTTCTGCATCAAAATCAACAATCCTTATCATTAGAAAGAGGGAGATGAAAATAGGAAAGGGGAGAAGGTGAAGAGGAGAGAAGGACAATACTATTGGGGTCCTTGGTCCAGGAAAGATGCATATCGTACTCCTGATCTAGGGTGAGTGGCTCTGATCCAGTGGCGAGGAGCAGTGCCGGGTCCTTCATCCACTCGTGATACTTCGGAACATGCTCCCACATGTATGGTACCAGGATCGCCTTCTTCCCTTCCAGGCATACCACACCTTCTTCAGCCTCGCTTTCCCCCAGCCAGTGACCCATGGTGATCGAGACTGACAGCGAGCAGAAGTCGATTCCCCGCTTGGTGATGATTTACCTGGAATTGTAAAATAAGAAGAGTCCACGCATATTTCTTCTTCCTAAATAATCTCCGCTTTCTCCAACATTCTGACCACAATTTTAAAGTGGCATCAATAAATTTTTTTTTTATTTAAGTGATTTACATAAACAAATTTATGGGTTTAATCACATTTTAAATAAAAAATATTTTTTAAAAATAAAACGCACCTCATAGAAGTGATTTACATAAACAAATTTATTTTTTATTTAAGATAATAATTTTAACTATTTTGTAATAAATAGTTTTTTTTTAATTTCATAATTAGATTTATAAAATTATATAAATTTGTTTTTATTTACATAAACATAGGGTGTAAGTTAACATTGGAGGAAATGACAAAAATATATGTATATTTAAAATATAATTAGTGAGAGTAGATAATTAAAAGGATTTTTTGCGTGTTACAATGATTTACGAATACATCTTTATATTGCAAGAGAATAGTGCACCAAAATGTCATATACTTTGAAAGTGGAGATCCAATTGTCTAGAAATAAATTGGGGATGCTAGAGCATGCATGACTATAATTTGATGACCGAAGTAATGTCTACTTTCGTTATAGGAGCGAGAGCAGTGTTAGCGACGCCTCGCAATTTTTGCCACCAATATCTAAGAGGGATGCGAAAGAACCTATGAATGACTATATGTAAAATATGGAGTCATGGACATGTGGTAGTTGTATCTTAGAAGATGTCTCTAGTGCATGATAAGAAAATTCATGGATAAGTCTGGATGGATATTAAAAATAATTTTTACGAGAATGTTATTTCATTCAATGTGGTAACATCTCAGTATTACTTTAATATGATCAATTTCATGAGTGTTATAGTTGAGACGATGGCTCCAAATGAAATGTGTTAAGCGAAACAGAGTTTTTTTATAAAAAAACAAGTTTATGCTTGGCTCAAGCTCAATTCAAACTTATAAGAATGGGTTTGAGATTTAGCTCATTTATGTAAACCTTATTCAAGCTCAGACCAAGCTCAATTTGAGCTTTATTCATGCAGGAATTTCTTAGCCTGTTAATAAGTAGCTCTTTTAACAAAATAAAAGAACTATAATTGAGCCCTAACTGAACTTTAGTCGAGCTTCATACAAATAGCTTGTTTGAAAAAATAAAGAAGTTGCATCAAATAAAGTTTGTTGAGTCTAAAATATAAGCAAATGAATGATATTATTTATAAAAAAGCCTTGATTTAATTGTAAACAAACCTTGATAAAGTTTTCAGAAGACTCACTAGCGGAAGACTGAATGACCTACTCGGCTAAATGTAGCCCCACAGAACTGGGAGTTGAAGTCGTCTGGTTATAGGTAATTCAAATCAAAGGCTAAAGCTAACCAAGCAATGCAGAAGCATTGCCCTGTCTCTTTCTACAATCCGACTTAAGAGAAGAATTCATCATCTTTACTCATCTCACGGAAGCCATCAAGATTGCTCATTAGGAGTCAATAATTGGTCGTGACCTAATCACACAGAGCATCCATAACGACCCCCTCATCCGAGGATCAATAGTCGACAGTAAGACTAAACAAGTCAATCAAAAATGCCAAATTGATCAAGTTGAGTCTTGTCGACGCAAAGACCATCAAAGACTGACTGACAATCCAGATTCAACACAATCGAATGAGCAAATCTTGTCAAACTAAGGAGAATTCATCATCTTTACTCATCTCACGGAAGCCATCGAGATTGCTCATTAGGAGTCAATACTTGGTCGTGACCTAATTACACAGAGCATCCAGAACGACCCCCTCATCCGAGGATCAATAGTCGACAATCAGACTAAACAAGTCAATCAGAAAAACCAAATCGATCAAGTTGAGTCTTGCTGACGCAAAGACCATCAAAGGCTAACTGACAATCCAGATTCAACACAAATCGAATGAGCAAATCTTGTCAAACTAAGGCTTGTTGATTTCAACCGATCTAGCCAGGGGGTAGACGAGCCGAAGGCAATATATGTAAATACCTAAAATATCTAGTAATGTTCACATTAAAGTGTGGGCATATATATATAATGTTCTATATTTGACCCCTTTTATATAAATAGGAAAATCATTTCATGAAAAATGACTAATCAACAAATCAAATTATTGTTCATTACTGTGCGACTCTTTTTCTCACACACAATCTCTCTTATTTCTTACAATCTATTGTTTGGATGTGATTCACGAAAAAAATCAAAATTCAACACAAAGAAATTATACA